CTATTAACACCTAAATTGGCAGGGCTCCCTACTTGTGAAGATTAAAACAACATTTTAGAAAGATATTTAATTAACAAAAACAACAGTAAAATTGTGTGATCTTGTAAAGAAACACTTTTAGAGTTGTACATTCCTAATGTTGATTTTAGCCATGTGACCTTAGGAATGGCCATAGCCTTTCTGACCTCTAGTCTCCTGGTCTGTGAACTAGGGATGCTGATTATGAATCTAGCAGAGTCCTAGGTTGATGGGAGATGCTAACCAGGAACTATTGTCAACAAAGAACAACAGCATTAGTTCTCTGGAATGTCTATGAAAACTGAGAGTTACACTGTGCTTCTAGTCTCTCAGAGACCCCAAATGAATTGTTGATCATGAAGGCATTTGAGGGAGGCTGGGCCTTTCCTCCCTTTGATCAAAGAGTCAACTCTCTTGCCAGCATACCATATGCACTTGGACTCCCAACATTTTGCCATTTGGACTTCCTCCATCTCCACTTGGTGAAGTCTCTGCTATTCATCCATGCTATCTGCAATCATGGATATCATACTCTTAGTCATAGCACAAGAAGTCTTCTTCCTTCCCAGCACCTCAAAGTTTCTGCTCTCTCACCTCATGAAGACTGTAGAACTACAAAATACTGTCCCTTCCTCAAACCTCAACATAAACAGACCACCTTGAATGTGTCACCAGTACTCCTCCTGGTTCCATGTAGTCACCTGCTCTCCACTACACCCTTAGCTTAGGCACTGGTGAAGAACCAAACATCCCCCTCTGACAGTGAAGGTATGGCTCATTGTCTAGTGGTGCCCATAGATGAAGAACCCTGGCAATCACTGAGGGTTAAAGACACAGCATATCATTTCTTTTTGAGAGAAACTTATTTATTATCTTCCATATTAATTGGTGTATCCTTAACCTTGAATTCTAATGTGAATGAATTATCTCCTCTAAAAGCTGTCTTGATACACTTTGGACTTTTCTATTGTTCAGTACTGAAATATAGCAGAAACAATGTAATAAAATCAATGCTGTCCACTTTCAAACACTGTAACACATGTTACATGTCAAAAAGCAAAACAGCTTTTGGTTCAAAATGAGAGATGCTTAGAAAAAGCTGAATGCAGAGGGCTTTCTCTTCCAAAGAGAAACTATTTGTTCTCACCTGCTGTTGTTAGAAATGACAATTCTTTTAGCAACTCTTTAAATAGCTAAGAGTTAACATGTGCTCAATACTTACTATATGCCAGTACTATTCTAATATCTACAAAAACACTAGGGAGTTATACTTGAGGAGTAGGAACTCCATTTAGAGATAAGGAATTTGAATTTTAAAGTGACTTAAGTAGACTAAGAAGTTAATGTGGAAATATTGGAGTTTGAGCCAAGGCAGCCTGATGCAAGATAGCATGCATCCAAGTAGTAGAATTATAATGAGGACTTTAGAAGATGCAAAGTTGACTAGAACAGTTTCCTTTTGCCAAAGTCCTTCTGTCTATTTCCAACAACATATACATCTCTTACTTTCAATGATCTATGAAGCTGGAAAATAAATAGAAATTAAATTATGAGGGACATGTAATCAACAGTTTATGACCTTGAATAAAGTTAGGAACATTCCATAATTAATCACTTTTATAAATTATTAATAGGAACTATTCTGTGAATATATGGCATAAAAGAGAGTTTTATACCTAGGGAAGAATTTATAGAATTCTACACAAATTGTCTTAGAAAACAGGAAAGGAAGTGATGCTTCCAAACTCATTTTATGAGACCAGCATTACCCTACTACCAAAAACAAACAAGGTCATCACAAGTAAAAAGAAAAACTAGAGATTAGTATTCTTCATGAACATAGATACTAAAAACACTTAAAAAATCATTGAGTTGAATTTTGGAATATATGAAAAGGATCATCCATTATGACCAAGTCCCAAGTATGCACGACTGATTCAACATTCAAAAAATCGGTCAGTGCAATTCACATAAATTAACTAAAATAAAAAAATTCTCAAAGATTGCTTTCTATTGAGTATGTGGTACTGAATAAGATTTCTCACACAATTAAACTCTCCTTTGTTTTCTACTGAAATATTTGAAGAGCAAACAACTAAACTAGAATTCGAATTTTTGTCTTAAAAATGTACTGATGGCAGAGCTTGCCTTCTCTGTATATGCACAGCTAAACTTCAGCAGAACATCAATAATCCCTGAAAGAAAAACAGACAACTACAGTACACATCAGGAGCAGTGGCTCAGCAGAAAGGGATAGGAAAATCTTTAACTGAATTGTGTTCAGCGCGATGCTGGGGCAGGACGACCCACAACCGGCTATGGTGAATAAAGCCGCAAGGAACATGAGAGTGCTGGTGTTTCTTCAAGACGGCAATTTCATTTCCTTTGGATAAGTACTCAGAAGGGGGATTCTTAGAAGCTCTCTGTAAATTCATTGTCTCAGCAACACTAACAAGGTAGATGTTTTCCCCTTCTTATTGTTTAGGAAAATGAAGGTCCCTCTTCCCACGAAAAACCCCAGGAAGCCCCCTCCATTCTCTGGTATGAAGGTTTGAAACGTCCTCTGTCATAAAGTCAATGAAATGCAGCATGGAGCTCTGTACAACGGGTCCGTTAGTTTTCCCAGTGCCGTTATACAGCCAGGTGGCTGAAATGCAGCTTGGTGCAGAGTAAAATAAGGCACTTATACTGTGACCCGGCATCGATAAAATGTGGTAAACTGGTGTTATTAAGACATAATTGTGTAGAGTGTAGTGACATATTTCTTATCAGCATGGCATCAGATTTAGTTTTACCAATCAGAGCTTTTTGGAAGTATAAGAGAAAAGCTTTTCAGTAGTTCCCCTTCATGGTGTTCAGAAATAACAATGGGCCCGACGGAATCTCCACAATGAAGGGAACCCTGTGGGCTGGGGCACTGCACTAATGAGCCGTGGGTCAAGAGGTCATTCCTCATCTGAGGCGGTCCTTTAGCCACACTCTGCTCCTGGGCACATATGGGGCCCTAACCTCAGTTCCCTTTCATCTTACACTTGGGAAGGTCTTGGTCACAAGAGGACCAATTCAAAATAATTTTCGACGACTTAGTGACTATCATTGGAGATGATATTGCATTGCTACATGTATTTGAACCACAAATGTTTCTTAGTGTGATTTGTGTAGATTGAATATCATGTAACCGGTTTTCATTTGAGTCTCTGCTTTCAAATGCCTCCTGTTAGCTTCCAGCAGAACAGTAAGAATCCTCATTCAGTCCCTCATCTATTTCTATTAGTATTAAATTCCATAGAGACCTTAGGGTCTATTTGCTTATGCAAAGAAACTTACTGAGCATCTAGTTGTGATTTAATGTCAATGTATCATGAAACTATTCCTGTGTGCAACTTGGTGGAATATGGATTTCGTGTTACTTGCAAGGTTGACTACTTCAGAGAAGAAATAAGCCTGTGTCAACTTGGAAATATTTTGTCCTTTTAAATAGGTTTCTTCTTCTTTTTTTTTTTTTTTTTGTATTCAGAGGAGCCCAGAAAATTTTATATGGAGTCCAGGTATCACAGAAGTGTTCCTGGTCTGCTTTTGAGAATTTGTTGAGCATTACACCTGAACTTTAAATACTATCTGAGTTCTGTGCCTCTTGGAGAAATGATATATGAGGTAGAAAAATTATTAAACACAAAAAATAAACACGGCCACTTCAATGTTATATTGAACTCATTAACTAATTATATTGAACTCATTCAATTACATTGAACTCATAAACTAACTCATTAACTAATTTATTCAAATCAAATATTTTGCAATTAAAATTGTTTAAGAATCATAGAAGTCTGGGAAAAATACATAAGCAATATTTGCATATGTCACACTAGGAAAAAACTGGATTAGGGAAGGAAGTTATATAAAGAAAGATTAAATTCTATTATCTTCTAAATTTTGCAAAAATATTTCTGTGACCTTCTAAAAGTTCATGTTCCCATTATAAAATAAACCATTATAAAATAAACAAACTTTCTTCATTCTATGAAAAAGTTGTCTGGAATTCAGAAATGCAGTGTGCCTGCATTATAATGTACATGAAATTTCTTCTGTTTTAATAATGCTAAAAATAAAACAATCTTATTTTGCTGAATCTACCATTATTAAAGAATATAAGAAAATATAAAATAATGTGCAACTGATTTAATTTTAAATTATAGTGAATTAGACTAACTGGTGATTTTTAGTGAATTAGGAGTCAGAAGTATGGATTTGAAAGAAATAAGCCTTAAAAAGCAAAGAATGCAGCATTGGGGTTAGCACAGGACAAGGAATTTCCTCTACATAATTACAGTTTATTGTGAATTTAAAAATGCTCAACAGGTATTAATGAATAATACCTACCCCCAAACTATAGATTGTTCTAAAATCTAATTTTTAGAATCCTAAAATATGATCAAGACTAAATTTCTACCCCAGGACTTATATGAGAAGGCAGATAAGTCACCCATTAACTGTTGGTTATCTGCTGGTTAACTACTTTAATTAAAATGCTACTGTTTAATTGACAGTCAAAGTCTAATATTTTAACTTTCAAGGAAAAGACAGCTTATGCAAAATTCTTAAAGACTAAACATTATTTTCTTTAACTGGGGTGTTTTTGGCAATGCTTTTTGGAATATACTAATGTTTAACTATTCTGAATGTTTGATAACCAGTTTTTGTGAAACATTGTGATTTTTATCCACTGAGAGGTAATTAAAAGCTGTCATTTGGAACCCAGATGGATCAGGGATCTTATCACACAAGAATCATCCTGCAGCAATTACCATGCCTTCCAACTGGGAAACAGATAACAGAAACTGTGGTACTTGAGGCACAATAGGCTAACGTGATTAGAAATCAGGCAAACTCTGGCTTCTCTTGAGCTGTACTCCCCCACAGGCTGAATTATAGCTCTCCTACCAGTCCCACGGCTCTGAATGATGTCATGGGATCTGTAGTTCACCGAGATGAAAGGGATAAAGCAGAACCCGCTGGCACTAGGCAAAGCTCCCAACACAATCCACAACACAGCTTGGGAACCTAAAAGCTACACATCCAGCCACTCAGCCCAAGCTTGGAAGAACCATCGGTATTGCCTGGTTGCAAAAAAAAAAAAAAAAAAAAAAAAGATGGGGGTGGGGGGAAAGAAACAACTCGATCGGTGTTAAACAAAAGAATTTGTGGGCTAGGAGGCAGGAGGTGACTACCTGCTGAAAAGTGAACTTTCTTGATATCCTTGCATATATATATATATAAACTTAGCCCTGCCTTTGAAGTTCTGCAACTGATCACCGATCAGATTACTGGCATTTCATCTTGCTGCTCCTCTGCCTTTGATCTGCATGGTTAATTTTATTTTCCTGGATTTGAAGTTTCGTCTGGGCTTGTGCTGACATACATTTTGGGAAGGTAGAAGCATTTGGCATAGAAGTGCTGCCAAGGAGAAACTAAGTGAGTACTGGAAAGAGTTCAGCACGTTGCAGGTACAGCATTTTATGTTTTGTTGTAGCTTTCACTTCACTTTTCATGTGTGTTCTAAAAAAAGCATCGTTTTAATTAATTTAAAAAAAAGCTTTTCCTTCTTGAATATTATGCTACATGTATGTACTAGACTAAATATGATCCTCAGTGCCTTTTTAGTAGTTTGTACAAAATGGTTTGCAATCTGTCATGCAAATTTCACTTGGAAATGAGCTGTTCAAACAGGACAAAACAGAAGAGTGCTAAGTTTAGCATATAACCAATGTTTGCTTCAGCGCCTGAGATCTGTAAGCTATAATTGCTCTAAGTATTTACAGCATACTTTATTTAGTAAACAGGCTGTGGAACTTTAACTTGTTGCCAGTGCTTCCTGATTTTCTTATATAAAAGAATAAAGTGCATCTCTGGTAATACTGTTTCTTTATTCTCTTACCTCCCTGATGTAAAAACTATCAAATACATTTCTTTATGCAGTTTGTATTCTCAAGGGAATCACTGAGAAGGCATTCAAGTATGATTAAAGGCTTTTATGTGTAAAACTAAAGAATTTTAAAACAGTGAGGGTAAAGTTGCCCCAAGGTTAGTTAAAAAGCCTCTAGTGATTTTCTGTAACCTTTGGAAATAGCACCAGGCTCATTTAGAGAAACGTTCACAAGGTTAATATCCTTAAAGTAACATTCACTTCAAATTTATAGTGACAGCTGTTGTAAGTTAAAATTTGGGGACTGTTTATGAAAACTATCTGGACAGTCAACAGTTATTATGTTGCATAAAGATTTTTGTCACATTTTCACTTTGGTTCATGCTCAACATGGCAAGACCAAAGCACATTTCTGTGCTGAATTTTAAAGTTGTTTTTCGTCCATTCAGTGATTTTAAACACACACACATACACAGTAAAATCTTTATATTGAGGTGCAAAAGTTAAATACAGTGGAAAAATAAGAGCTCCATTTTCTCAGTTCATTTTAATGCTCCAAATTTATGTAGATAATTATTATCATCACTCTATTTTATGCTGACCTACAAAGAAATTATGTGATAACACTGGTTATCCTTTAGCCTGAAATTCTGATGGAACAGAAAAGGTCTAATGTGTCTTGTTTCTTATGTAATTAATTTTTCAAAGTCAATTAATTGCATTACTTTCTAAACTTTCTTCCTGCTATAGAAGTGGGGTAATTAGCATTGTTTGCTTAATTTTAGAACTTTGATAGCTGTTAAGTGGATATTATTTAAAGCTATACTAAGCTGACTATTTTTTAACAATGTGTTAGTAAGAATTTAATGTAAAAGTCTTAACTATTTTTTTTAAGTCATGTCAGGGGAGACATTTAAATTTTTGTTTTACTGACAATGTAACAAAGCATGTTCATAATATCCTGGAGTATCAGGTTAGGCTGATTTTTTCCATTTGTTGACTTAAAAAGATTTTCATTTAAATCACACACACAAAAAAACCACTTTTAATGTTCATATTCCACTAAAGAAAATTAACCTTTTAAAATCACGACTGAATAGGACACCTACAGAAACAGTATGCTTAGGACCTCAGTCACTTAATTCAGATTTGGTATTTTAAAACTTTTTAAATGACTATTTACTTTGCTTCCTGGTTCATTTTAACAAATACAGACTCTCCTCAACACAAAACAAAAGGGAGAATTAGCAATTATCTGATTAATTTAGGCTTTGTAGCAAACTAGCCTGGGCAAGTCAAGTCCTTGAAAATCCACTTCAGTGTCTGAATTAATTCAGTTAATTGTTTATTTCTTGTGTCTTCCTTGAGAAATGAGACAGATTGTATTTGATTTTAAAAGAAAGATGGTCCTGCTAAATGTGCATGTACATTCTCAAAGGCATTTCTTAATAATCATAAGATGATCTTCATTGTGATTTAAGTGGGTATATTTCTTAATACTTCTGCTGAGTGAAACTCTTAAGATATATTTTTCAAAGGCCTTTCTATCTATTGCTTCAATGGTAGCTTTGTTATTACAAAAATTCCAAGTCTTCAAAAGACTTTTATTTCTAATCCTGATTCAGTCACTGATTAGCTAGGTGGCCTTAAGATAGACACTTTGCTACTTAATTATCTCATATATGGAGGTGATCAGTTCATCCTCATGTTAAGCAGGGCTGGAATTTTTATAGCCATTTCACAGATGAGGAAACTCCAACCCGAGAAAAGTTACTTGACTATCTTAACTAAGGTTCCTTGGCTAGCTTTCCAGGTCCTTGTCCAACATTCTTTCTGTTTCTCCATGCACAATCTATTTTCCAACAACTGCTAAAACAAATGCACTGTTGAGCCAATTAGAGAATGATGTTAGTTTGAAAGATAAAGATAGCCACTTCCTATGACATTACATTTTTGTTTCCATCATAGATATGTCAGTCAACTGGATTAGTCTGGTTATTTCCCAGCTGTTCCTTTACTTCTGTGTTTCTTAGCAGTCTAAATACAATTCCGGCTACAATTTACTGCTATAATTTACTGCAACATTTAAAATGACTTTCACAGAATGTTTAATATGTTAGTACAATGTGGAGTTATATATATTTGTGTCTGTCTGTATATGTGTATACAATTTTGGCATTATAAAAGCACTTCTTTGTATGTTTCCAAGTAATTGATGTTTTTTTAGACGATATCAGGGGGGATCCGTGACAAGTTTAATAGATAATTAAAAGTCATTATTCTCCAGGAGAGATTGTCAATGGAATTTTGGGAGATTTCTGTTGGTGAATTTAATGTTGATTTATACAAGATATGGGCTGCATACTATATTTGATGATGTTAAAAGTCCTTGAATATGTTTTAATGAACTTTTTCTGGGTTATTTTTATTAATATTTCTTGTGAATTTAATATTATTTATTGACTGTAAATTGTGCACATATACATTGCTCTCCAAGCTAAATAGTTTTATTATATCTTATCACTTCATAAAGGTTTTATATAAAGCTTTATAGATTATTAGTAACACTCATTAACATTTATTAATTCACTAATTATTCATTAACTCACTAATATTAATTGAGTATTTATGTGCCAGACATTCTAACAATATTTTAAAAAACACTTTCTCATTTAAATTCACAAGTTTGTGATACCCATTATGCTGATGAGCAAAATGAGTCTCAGAGAAGTTAAATAACATATATAAAATCACAGGGCTAATTAAGTGACAGTAATAGAGTGTATCTGATTTCAGATCTTGAGTTCTTTTGTTCTAGGGTTAGATGGCTAATTCTTTCTGTTTTAAGTATTGACTTCCAATACAAAGTAACCAGTTATTTCACCCCCAAAATGGGTCTATTTGGAAACAACTATATACCAGTTTGGAAAGTGTAGTCTCATGGTGAGACACAGGGCAAGTCCTCAGAACCAGTGGCTGGGGAAAGAGAAACAAACCTCTCTTCCTTCCACTGAGGCAGCAAGGTACCATCACCTCTTGGGGGAGATGCAAGGCATGTTGGCTCCTACAGTTGATTGATTGTACATGTATGGGTACTTTCTTTTGGCTTATGTCTTCATGTAACTAGGGTTTCTGCACATTAATTTTCACATTATGTAGAGAATGTAGAGAGCTGAATTTGACTGTTAGCAAATATTTTAGTCAAAAAATGGGTTCTAGGTTTTTTTTCTTTCTTCCTTTTGATATATTTTATGACAGCTACTAGAACTTTTTGATAGTTTTCCCAGAATTTTGGGCCATAAGGGACTGCAAGACATAATCCATTCTTTCTTTGCTTCAGGACTGGACTGAAATCAGCATTCACTGTTGGTTTGGCAGGGCCAGTTCAGGGCACCCTGGAAAAACTAGTAATTTGATACTCCTTTAAGGAGTTATTTTTGTCAGCCTGATCCAAAGGAATGCCCTATGAAGGGTGAGCAGGAGGCTCCCTAGTGACTATGCTTAATTTTTCTACATTCACAAACCAATTAGGTTGGCTTCCAAAGTTGTCTGTTGAATTCTACCATTTGCTGAAACCACCACTCAGAGGTAGTCAAGTCTCAAGTACTTAGATTGAAGGTAGTTTAACACCAACCATCCAAAGAGACTTAAATTTGTTCTTTTGTATAAAGAGGGAGGGAGAGGTGGAATGGTGAGGTAAGGCTTTCAAGAGACATCATCAAACCATTCCCTCCAATGGTAAACTCACTCTCAGAGTTCTGCCAACTACAGCTTTTTCCATCCATTTAAATGCCCCCAATACTTTGGCAACCCTATAGTTTAGCATTTATAGACTGCTGTCCAATGAGCCTGTTCCTTATTTCAGCCATATGCAGAAGAAGGGGAGAAAAAGAGTCAGTGATCCCTTCTCATTAAATACATGAAAGGTGCCTGGCCAAATGGGGTGGGGTATGGAGGTGGGCTGGGGATGTAGGGTGATAAATTCACAAAAATCAGTGTAAGCACCTTCACTTACAACAACTTTGCTCTATAGATGTCATGAGTTTGACATTATTAAACTAAATAAATAACCTCATGGCCTTAGACACATGCTGGTTTATACACTAGTGGTATGGTAAAAATTATATTAGAATTTAGGGAACCTGCATTTTGATTCCAGTTTTATGATTTACTTGTTGTGTGACCTTGAGAAAAATCACTCAATATCTTACTCTAATCCTTCACTGATAGTTTATAATTGGCAGTAATGGGTCTTGGCAATTAAATAGTTGGATCTTGGTTATTTACTTTTATTTTCTTGACTATGTTTATCAAACTTTATTCATCTTTGAGATTCTCACTCCTGTTTATAAATTCATTCAACAAATTTTTCATGAGTACCAACTATGTTCCAAGCACTGTGAACTAGTAAACTAAATTCAGTATTTTATTCTACTAAATTCAGTTAGATTTTCTTTTTGTTCAGTTTTCTGAAGGAAGAGTGATTTATACCAGAAATTTCTAGAAATTAAATTATTGCAGTGAGCTAAGTCATCACTGAAACTATTTGTAACCTCATTATCTCAACTTTGTATTATATGT